TTTTTTTTTCTTTGTTTGATTTCTACTACGTAGCATTGTTTTTCTTGTCGTTTTTTATTTACTGTTATTGTTATCACTATCGACTACATTTTTGATTTTTGGAAAGAAAAACAGCCAATATATAGACAGTTATTCGACATAAAAAATAGTCTCTTATATCTATTATCAAACAGAATGTTACAAAAATTAAAGATAATGTGTACACTTAGTGATCCGAGAAGGAAAATTTAAAATCAAAAGTATTATTAATTGAAAAGATGAATTGAATTCTATATAGAAGGTAATCAAGAATAAAAATATTCTCATCATACATTTGTCTATCATAGAAAAGGATATCGGAACAATTTCAAATAATATACTTCAATAATGTATCAGTTGAGTATCATGCAAGTCTTTAGATCGATATTTCACTGTCATTTTATTTTCAAATATAAGTTAATATCGCTGCAGATTCAGACATAATAAAACAATACTTCATATTAGCAATGTATGAACCAGAACAGTATTAATATTTATAACACAAGTGTACATTTAACTAGTGTGAAATAATATCGTAATATGATAAACTGACGTATGAGTATTGTCTTTGCAAATCATTTTATGAACAAAGAAAAACTATCGCTGCAATATTATTACCAAATAACACACATTGTCAATAGACATAAGCAATCAATAAAGAATGATTTATTTGAAAGAAAATTACATAAAAGTAACTGAATATCTGAATTCTATTCACTATTGAAAATTGAATATAATCGTAATTATTAAGTTTTATCTTATCACTGTTGTTTGAAGAAATTTATTCGGCATAGACAAGAATCACTTATAATAATATTTCTATCTGAACCTATATTATACATATATTCAATTAACGATCTTTCAAAAGAATGAGATTACATTAGAATATCCATTTAACACGTATCTCTTATACATCGATTTGTAAAATATAACTAATAATACAAAGGATATTAGTAGAAATCTTTCCGTTTGATATATAAATGAATTTCTTATGACTTTAATGATAATTATATTAATATAAAAATAGAATTTTAGATTCTGTTGTTAAACAAGATATTTATTTTAAATGCTCAATAATCTTCGGTTTATTTTGTTATTTAAAACAAATGAGCATAAAAATAAACAATGAGGAAAAAAAAAACTTCTTTTTTATTTTTTCTTGTATCGATTTCATATGGATATTACATATAAAGAATTTATATGATACCAATTCGATTAGCAACATCTAATGCATCATGATCAGCCTTGAGTCTAACATAAGCTTTCTTTTCACCATCTGGGCGAATAAGTGTATTGATTTTTTCAGCATCAACATCATACATTTTTTTGACGGCTGCTTTAATCATTGGTTTATTTGCACGAATACTGACAATAAATACTAATGTATTATTATCTTCAATTTTTTTCATAGCCGATTCAGTTGTTAATGGATGTTTGATTATGGCAAAATGATCAAGACGATTTCGTTTTGGTACTGATCGTCTTGGATATTTTGGTGAACGTTGTAAACGAAGTGTATGTGGACGACGAAATGTTGGTTTTGAATAAACTTTACGATTGCGTGTCAATTGATTACCACTGAATAAATAAAAAATAAAATATATAACAATAAATTTTTGTCATTTACCGAACAACTCGTTGTTTAGCTTTAAGTGCTTTTGTTTGAACCTTTTCTTTTCGGTCTTTAGTAACTACTTTTGTTGCAGTTGTTGTTGTACTACCAGCTGGTTTGGTAGGTTTTTTGGCACTAGCAGTTGCTGTTGCTGTAGCAGCGGCAGCTGGAGTGTCTTTTTTTTTTGTTGAAGCTGCGGCTTCCTTAGAATCTTTTTTTGGAGCCATATCAAAAAATTAAAATCTAAAAAAAAAACGAAATCTTTTAATTATTATCGTTAGATTTTCTATTTTGTATACAAAATGAAATAGACAATTTCATGTTGTTTATCGGTCTCTCTTAGTTCGATTTTGATTGGATTAATATTCAATTAAATTTTACATTAAAATTCTTATTATTAGATCGAAGAAATTATTCGAATTATCTTATTTTTACAATAAAATATTGTCTGAAAGAAAATTTTTTTAAAAGAATATTTGAAGGTATCATAGATGTCTCTAATAGTCGAATGAAATTAACTTTCAAATTCTATATAAATATTGATGCATTATTTCATAAAATTCAAATATAATATTTTCTTTTTTCCAATCGTTTTCGTTACAAATAAATTCTTCCAGATTTTAATGTTAGTATTATGTAACAAAGAATATATTCAATCAATTGATAACTTTTAGTTGCATGAAAATTAAATCTCTATAATATAGTTTTATTAATCAATAGGATTTCTCCATTTGAAATAGCATTACGTGTTTGTTTTTTCAAAATTCTATTAATCATCAGTTTAATCATGACAAAACGACGAGATATTTTCTTTTCTGTATAATAAGTCTTTTTCAAATTATGAAATTCATGACAAATAAATAGAAAGTAATGCATATCATTTTCAAAAAAAGAATCTCGTGTAACATATAGTCAATTGTATTCTTTATTTTTACTCAATGGTCTGATTTGATTACTACTATTAGTTATATTAAAGACCAATGAAAATGTAGATGTCTAACTCCACACGATCAAATGATGAAATAATAAATTTCATAACCACAACCTATAGAAGATATATATATGATATTGTATTGATTCATTTCTCTTTCTATTTCAGAAGATTATTATTTATTGTATCTAGGTCGTCATTGTTTATTGTGTGTGTGTACAAGTTAGAAAACAAAAGTTGTTAGACAAAGAGAAAGAAAGGAAGAGAGAAAGAGACAGTGCATTTGTTGTATATATTCTGTCATTCACGCACATTACACGATATAAGTGAGAAGGATATTTTTTTATTGACTTGTAAAATCATACCTGTTAGTATAGGTCATTTTATATTCTTGAAATAATGGCTGGTGTTAAACGTACACGTCCGGATGATATTCCAACAAGTCAATCTCAAACAACATTGAATGAAACATCACCAAAAACTGAACCAGCATCACCATTTGTTAGTACGATTGAAGAAGAATATACATGGTAATTTCAATAAGAAAAAGAAATTAATGGAATGTATAGTTTCATATTTATTTTAGTCCAATCTGCTTTGAATTAATCAGTGAAGCATATGTCTCTCGATGTGGACATAGTTTCTGGTAATATTAAATTAAAAAAATTAGTTTATTAATATATATTTTTGTTTCATTAATAGTAATAAATGTCTTCAACGAACAGTTGAATCTCATCGTCGTTGTCCAAAATGTCAATTAAGTCTTCAACCAGCCGATATTTTTCCTAATTATACATGTAAGATAATAATTCAAATCTATCAGAGAATTATAATTCCCCGAGACAATCATTATCTACTCAAACTATCTTTCTCATATTTAATCCTATTGATTTTTTTCTCTTGATAGTGAATGCAATAATTGAGAAATATCGTCAACAACGTCCATTACCTCAAACATTCGCTAAATATGGTGTAAGTAAATAATTGATTTAATACAAAAAATCTCAATTAAGAATTATTTTTTAGAGTATTGTTGATCATATTTCTGATATGGTGACTAATATTCATACATTAAATGGCCCAGATCTTGATCGTCTTATCTCAGTTATTCGTCAACATAAAGATAAACTTGATTCAGTTTGTTTAAATTTATTTATATTCTACCTTTCCATATCGTTTTCTTTAATAGAATAATGAATATATTCATAATCGTTTACTGGAAATATTTCTAACACATGTTCATCATGAACGAAGTGGAGTAAGTATTTATTTTATTGAAATTTTTCTTTAAGTTAAACGTTTTTTTGTTCTTTAAAGGCAATTGAATCTTTATCAAAAGAATTAAATATTGTTGATCAAGATTTAAAACAAATGAATAAAAGACAAAAATGTTCATCATCAAATGTAAATAATCCAATAAATACAAATTCAAAACAAACTATAGATGACAATGCATTATTATCATCATCATCTGATTCAACAAGTAATATTAAAGAAGATTTATCATCATCAAATGATACTACAATTGTTAATGATACTGTTCCAAACTGGGTACAATCAGGAGGACAAGTGAGATCAATACAATTTGTATATATATATACACATAGAATTTTTCTTCAAAAGGATCTTCGAGCAACACCTGATATGAAAACAGATAAACAAGAATTAGCACCAACAACAACGAACGCACCAACCACAACTACTACTACATCGAGAATTGTATCTACTGGTGCTGTTGTACGTTAATATTATTTTATTTCTATCAAAAGTTATATCATGATTCCCGATTGATGTTTATACCCTTCCGTAGAAATGATAAATCAGTGTATCAGCGATTCTCGAATGAAACGATTAATATGAGTTTGAATGCGATTAGAAATTTTTATATTATTCATCAGTTGATTCTAACATAAAAAATATTGAAATACATGAGATTACGAAACTTGTTAACCTTCAGAATTTCTAATTTTATCAGTGATGTATCCAACGGAAAGATTATAGAAACCGTCCCCCTCCCCTGACTGACATAAATACCTGAAGCATAGTACGGACTGATTGGTTATCATAAACCGAAAAGCAGCTTATCATCTATCACAATGCTCCCATCCAAAAAATGCCTGATTGAAGAACCAAATTTATCTATTTAGCCCGATGTTTAAGATTTTTTAATAATCTTTTATTTATAAATATTCTTAATTTAGGTCCCAGAAGAAACTAATCAATATGATGATATCGAAAATCGAACAAAGATAATGATGCGTTTTATGGACGATTTGACAAATATTTATTTTTCAACAAGAAATTCTCTAAGATTAACAGTTGAAAATGGTTAGTTTTTTTATTATATTATTTAAAATAGTTTTATAATATTATAGATGGATCATGTAATGGTGATAGTGGTTTAGGTACATTTCGTGATAGTCTTGCAGCAGTAACAAAATATTCTCGATGTAAACCAATTGCAACAGTTAATTTTGTTGGAGAAAATTTTGCTCAAGCTAGTATTGTCTCAAGGTAAACATTTTTTTTTGTTTGTTCTTCTTAATTATTCATTCGATTTCTTTCAGTATTGAATTTGATCGTGATTATGAACATTTTGCTGTTGCTGGTGTTTCAAAAAAAATTAAAGTAAAAAAAAGAAAATCTTTGTAATTAGGAACTAATTTTTTTATCTTTATCTTATTTAAAGCTCTATGAATATCAATCTGTATTAGATAATTCAGTTGAATTACATTATCCATCAAAAGAAGTTGCATGTACAGCTAAATTAAGTTGTATTAGTTGGAATCCATATTTAAGAAATTATTTGGCATCGAGTGATTATGATGGATTTGTTACTATTTGGGATATGGCAACTGCACAAAAAGTTCGAACATTTCAAGTAAATATTTTATATTTTGATTTATAGAACTAAATAATTTATTTTATTCAGGAACATGAAAAACGTGCATGGAGTGTTGATTTTTGTTCGTCTGATCCTAAACTACTTGCATCATGTTCGGATGATTGTCGAGGTAATAAGATTGGTTTTTCTATTCTTTAATTATCACAAAAAAATATTCATTTGTTTTTCTTTAGTCAAAATTTGGTCAATGCATAATGAATATTCAGTGACAACAATTGATGCTAAATCAAATGTTTGTTGTGTTAAATTTAAACCCGATTCTCCACATAATATTGTCTTTGGTACAGCTGATCATAATTTATATTATTTTGATTTACGTAATACACGTGAACCATGTAATCTGTTAAAAGGACATAAAAAAGCTGTATCATATGCTCGATTTTTGTCGAATAATGAAATTGTATCAGCATCAACAGATAGTCAACTTCGATTATGGCGTGTTACAGAAGGACAATGTTTAAGAACATATCGTGGACATGTTAATGAAAAGAATTTTGTTGGTTTAGCCGTTTCATCAGGTTATATTGTCTGTGGTACGTTAATATTATTTTATTTTTATTATTCAGTGGCAATGAGGATAAAAAATTTGTCAGCGCAATTACGTTGAGACTAAAAATGTGGAACTCACATGTGTTCTTATCTAACGAACTTCAAGCCTTTAGTATTTTATTAGTTCTAAAAGAAAACGTATTTGTTAGCATTGAAACCTCTTGACAAGTGTTATAGAGGATTTGCTATATAATACCATTTGAGGGATGTGTCAACTAGCAAACTTGAATCGGAAATCTATGGTCAACATTTTTTCTGAAGAGTGGATAATATATTAATCTGTCACTTTCAGTTACACTCTCGTTCCAGAATATTTTTGACCATACCCAGCAATAGAAGTGGTACATTTTCGTTAATTTGAAATTAACGGTTAATGGAACCCTTTAATGTTAATCTTAACGTTAACGGATTCCGTTAATTAACACCCATTAATTAATTCTCGTTAAATAAAGTGTTCCACCCTTACTCAGCACTTTGAAGACAACTTGTGCTATTTTCAGTCCTTTCTTCCTTCCTAACCCAGACTATCTCTGGCTATTTTTAGCCATTCGAATGGCTGCCTTGGTTTGTACACAGTGACCTTCAACGGTGGTTGCTAGGGTCTATAATGAAGGGAAGAGGAGCCAGAAAACTTGAACTCAAAACTTACACTGATGAATTTATGTGAATTTCACAAAACCTCAGCTTCTCTTATTCATTACATACCTTTTAACTAATCTCATTTTAATTCTTTATTCGGTTCGCAATTTCATTAGTAGCATTGAATTTGTTTTTCTTTCGAAAAAAAAAGATGATTGATTTTGAGTTTATTTTTAGGTAGTGAAACAAATACAGTACATTTATATCAACGTGAAATCTCTCGACCTTTACTCAGTTATAAATTTGATGATCAAAATAGTGGACCAAGTAAAACAGTCACAGCTGCAACGGTAAACAAAATTTCAATTAAAACAAGAATATTTTTATAAGTATTTTATTTAATTAGGAACGTCCAAAAAAAGAAGAAAGTGGTTCAGAATTTGTTAGTGCTATGTGTTGGAGTAATGTAAGGAGTTATTTTTTATCTTATTTAACATTCTTAAGCAATAATATTTAATTTTTCTTTAGCGAGAAAATATCTTATTGGCAGCCAATAGTCAAGGTGTTGTTAAAGTATTGGAATTGGTCTAATTTTCATTACAACCATATGTCAATTAATCTTTATTTTTGTTGTCTTTGAGTTAGAATTTTTTTTTTCAGTTCTTATTTTCTGTTAAGTTAATCGTCGTATTGTGTGTGTATGTGCGTGCGAGAACTTGCTAAATGATTATTCTTTTATTTCAGTTGTTCATCTTAAACAACGACTTATTATTTAATTACTTGTGGAAAACTATCTGTAAATATGATCAAAAGAAGTTAAGATAATAAAACACAAGTGAATAAATTATATTAAATTATTCTTATTTTAAAAAACAATGAATAAGAATAAAAGACAATCTGATTTATAGATAAATTTCTTCAATATATATTCCCTCTTGCAAATCCCTTGAGTTAAAAATCTTAATAACATCATCCAGAAAATAAACTTTCCTTGATAAATTCATTATTTAACATTACAAAATTAGAAAACACATACAGATACATCAACTTGTCAAATATTAATTGCATCATCTATATTCATTGACATGTCATAGCTTTGTTTCTATCTGACAATAAACTTGTCACTTAACAAGTATTCGTTATATACATCTTATTTAAAGCTTTCGTCAATCGATTAAAGTAGAAAACAATAACAGGAGATTCTCGAATAGTAAGATGAACTATATAATTATTTTATTTATCGATAAATATTAAAAATAGATATATTGTCTTATGAATAATAAAATATAATATCAGTTTTTTCAAGGATTTATTTGTCTTGAGAAATAATAGATTAAAACATCAATCATAATATTAATTTACATATTTAAATGATTACGTTTTTTTTTCTATTTCTCTAGCCAACCGAACTATGGATATATGTAGTAACTGTATTGTTTTGATAACGAGGGAAACTATTGAGCGACTAAATTATTTTGATCAATGTCACTTCTAATTTACTCTGATTGTAATTTAAGAAACCTTATTTGACTACGAGAAGATATATTTGTCCTTCGATGAGACGATACACTTACGCTCTATGGGTAACATAAATAGATAACAGTCAATTTCGTACAATCATGATACTGGAATTGTTTATTGTCAAATTAATGAATTGAATGAAAAATAACAGACTATCATCATTCAGTATATTGCAAGCACGATTATTCATAAATTTAAGTCATGTTATGACGATATAGACAAAGAATAATAATAATCTTATTAACGATTAAATTTTTCCAAGGTCATATACAAGAAGAAAACGAGAGACATTTGTTCTCTCTCTTTTGAATTGTTAACTATGAAAAAATAGAAAAACTCATTCTCGAAGTAAATATGTAATAATGAGTTTTGTTAGTGGCCTGCAGTCAAAAAATAATTATAATAAACAAGAAGGAATCATCTCTCTCTCTCTCTTTCTCTTATGATTATTAACGTTAATCATGCTGATTGTTTATCTTCGTTTTGTAATAATGCAAAATCTATTTTAGTATATTCTTATGATTATAACAAACTGACTATATATTCGAAATTACAAAACAGTTTCTCGTAAACCTTTAAGAGATAAAAATGAGTTTATTTGATGTTGTGCTAAACATGTTTGAGGTAAAAATCCAATCAATCCATCCTCTTGTTTTTGTACTAATAATGTTGATTTTCCAATTTGTTTCAATAAACGTACTTGATCACCCCGTTTAACAGAAAATATTTTTGTACCATTTGTTGTTGATAATAATGAAGAATTGGTATATTCATGCCAAACAAGAAATGTACGTTTTTCATTTGGAGTATTATTATTATCATTATTAATTGATGATGATGAAGATGATGAATAGGATGATGATGATAACGATGTTCGAAGTGAATCAAGTTCAATAGCAGCTAAATTAAGTTCACCAAATATATTTGTATTTGCTTGTGGAGTAGTTGTTGCTGTTGGTGTATGTGTCATACCAATTGTAGTAAAATGACGTTGAAGTGGATGACGATTTGGCTCAGATAATACTGGTGATGATGTCTGGAGAGAAAAAATAAATTTTAATATAATCTATTTATTTTTTTTTACTTTTGTTATTGGTTTTTGTGTTTGTACTCTCGTCCATAATAATCCATCACATGATAGATTTCTTCGTCGTTTTTCTGCAAGTGTTCGTTGTGATTGAATGTTTGTTTTTGGTAATGGTTTAATATGTGAATATGATTGACTAGATAATAAATTATCTTTACTAGAAGAATTCTTATTATCATTAGATAATTTTTTCATATCATTATTAAAAATTATATCTGACGGTGATGATTCTGTTGACGAATTATTTCGTAGTTTTTTATAATTATTAAATGATGAACGTCGTTCACAATGACAATGTGGACATGATGTATGTAATGGACGTTGAAATGATCTTGTTGCAAAACTTTCTTCCGAATAACCTGAATCACCACCACCACTATAATGTGATAATGTTGAAAATTTATGTTGATCATTTTGTTTTCGAATAGCTCGACGATGAGATTTTTTATTAGTTGTTTCAGCATAATTAACAAGTGTCGATGATAAACGATCAAAACGTGTATTTGATAATTTTTGACGACATTGCATAATATCAATAATTGGAGAATGAAAAGCTAAATCAGAAAAAAAATATATATGTAAAAAACAATTGAATAACTTACAATCGTTTTGCTTTATTTTCTGAGATTGTTTATTAGTTCTATGAAGTTCATCAACAGAATATGTTCTTGAACTAATTGAATTATTTGTCCGATCTTTTAATGAACGCCATGAACTACTCCGACGTACTTTATTTGATCTCGATGATGATGAAATCTATAAATCAAAAAAAATCTTTTCTATCATTTATTTTCTTTAAATCATAATAATTGATAGTTAACATCTCTATCTTTTGTATATCTTTCATCAAGATTATTATTATTATTGTTACGTTCGTTCATTCAGGTTCATGAGCATTTTCTTTTTTAATCTTTCCTTCATACCGATTAGGCAATT